TCTTAATAACGATCAGACCTATAGTTTTTTAATTATTTGAGCATCTATTCTCTTTATAGCCAGACGTTGATCATTTCTGCTGGAAATCCCTATTAAAGGAGTTTACTCCTTGACTTTAAATAGCAAAGAAGGTTTTACCACCAACGAATCCAAAGTATATCCCCATGAAAAAAACATTGCCCGCTGAGTAAACAAAATTATTGTTTTTAAAATTTTTGCTAAAAATAAATTCCCCAAAGAATTAATGAAACGAATATATGTAACAACAAAAGCAAAACACGCAATTTTGGTTAAGATTACAGTGCAAACTTTCTTCTTTGTGTCTAGTAGTTTTTTTTTTTGATTGGACCAAATAATCATAATAAAGAAAGAAACCAATGCAGGTATTAAAGCACAGAAAAAAAAAATAATTTTTAAAAATACTATGTTCTCTTTGACGTACGTCAAAGGTCAAGTAGAAGTTGGAACTTGTATGACTGCCCATTGATAGCTATATAGTTATATAGCTTAAGAAATAATATGTTTAAAGACATTTTTATCAAAGTTTATAAATACATATGAGACATTTGACCAGTTTTGTTACACAAATACTCCCACGACCACTGGCAAAAATATTGGTTACAATTTGTCATTTTGTTTGCCATATATTTATACGCTTTATCGGTGCACTTGCACAACATTCGCATTAGCAAAAGCTCCGTAATGATTATTGGGAATGCGAATGTTGAAATTAATTCGGAAGCTCCGCGGTTGCGAGAGCGAATGCGAATATTCTCAACGACCCTGGTACATATGTATCATTAAATAGTTAATAGTACTCGTTAAAGCTGAAATATACGGCAGTGTTAATCCGGTTTAACTCGGACTTAATCCGGATTAACTGCAGTTAAACCGGATTAAGTCTGAGTTAATCCGGATTAACGCCGCCGTCTGTTTGAGCTTTTAGTGATGAATCGGGGACTAATTGATCTTCAATTATACCCGTAAGAGACTACATAGTTGCGACTAATTAATGCCCAATTGTACCCGGACTGAGAGTAATCTCGGAATACTCTTTTTAGAGATTAGTCGCACAATTTTATGCAGGGTATGTACATTTTCTAACCTAAATAATAGTGCACTTACAAAATATGTACATAGATACACATACTTTTTTATCAAATTTTAGATAACTGTTATAAATGCCATAAACCTTTTAGATCTGCTGACTTAGTACTATTTTTTGTGGTTACCCAGATACCCGTATAAATATGAATGAGCGCAAATATGTAGTATGTATGTATGTATGTATGTACGTACATACATGATTACGAGCATGTTAGTTGGCTATTAGTTTTAGTAATCATTATAGCAGCGGCACCGAAATGAAATTAGAACGAATAACAACAACAAAAAACATAAATAAATACATCAATACAAAGTTAAGCATTGCGGCAGATAGGAAAATGAATTAAAAGCAAACTAAAAAATAAAATAGAAAATATATTAACATACACATGCAAAAAATGTATAGGCCACTATGAAAAAAGTGCCAAACATTAGAAGCGAATGAACTACCGACGGTCAAACACAACACATACAGCATATTGTAGATTCCCTGTGGGGAAAATCTCTAGTTCTAAACTGGTGCGCTTCTAGGACATTTAGACCCACTACTGGTTCGCGATAAATCTCTTTTGCATGCAACAAACAACTGGCGATTTTAAAACGGCGATATCATAGGAATCAGAAATTGTCCTCGCTGCATTACCTTTTCTATAGTTCGATACCAGATACATATAAAATCGTCAGATGAAAAAGTAAAATGATGTTTTCAAACAGAATCTTTTTGGTTTTACCATCCTAGCGATTTTTAATTATTTGCAAAGAAATGTGTTTTTAATCTGAAATCAAATTTGTATGTTAAATAAGCATTGAGCATTTGAAAACACCTTTACATACCTTTCGCTGTAGCTAAATTTGCAGAAGCGCTTGCTGTTAATGGTTAGATTCTAGAAGGTGCCAAAATGTTAAAATGCTAACACAAATTTTTCATTTGTATTAACAAACTATGAAAAAGCATCTGCGAAGTGCAGACTAAAAGCGCATTTGAACGAAAAAGCCGCCAAAAAAATCTATTTAAAACAAGCCCCGCTGCATCCCTTTTTCTATTGTTTCGAATCAGTTCTAAATTCGACATTTTCGATACAGATTTCTAAAAATAAAAAAAAAAAATAAAAAGTACCACATTTCGCTGCTTTTGAACTGGTTGCGATCTAATTACTATCGGACTGGTTCCTTTTTGCCAATAAAGATCTAGTACGGAACTATAAATTTGGTTCACTAGTTCGAGGTTTCCCTGCAGGGTTGTTTGATACGCTTTGCAAGACAAAGGCGTCGCTCTGTGTGGGAGAAGATATTGGGCCCATGCCGAGCATGCTGGGAGATGTTTAAAGTGGGCAGGTGGCCGCAAGTCATGGGATGCGGGGTGTTGAAGTGGAAGGCGTGAGCAGAGGAAACCAACAATCATATTGCGCCAAAACCCATCAGTTTTTGCCAGCAATTCCCTAGTGTTAAAAATACATGTGGGTAGATATGTATGCATGTAGTATATGCACATTAGATCGTACCAGAAAAAAAGTTCGCCGTTCACCCCGGAGTCTAAAGTATTTTGTAAAGGCAACTTGGAAAAAAAAATATTTTGGCCGCACGTACGAGTCGTTTTCTACATCTTCGTCGTACAACCGGCATTTACTGTTGGATCTCAAAGTATGATACAATCATTGTTTTGTTCTAAAGTTCATGGACCTCAAGTACCTCTTTCTAGTCCCTACGCTTCACATCTCATTTCTTATCACGTCATCTCTGTGAATTAAAGCCCACGAAAAATCATTTAACTTTGGCTAAAGAAGTATTTCGAATATTCCAGTAGAACTATTTTAAAAACTAAATCTTTTGGTGAACGTATGTATGTATGTAACTGTCACCGAAAAATGTACGAAGGCGAGGCGAACTCTAGGTTCGGCCAAAGCAATAAAAAAATAGAAATTTCCTTGTAAAAATATGTATGTTAGACTCAGGGCATTCGGCGAAATTTTTTTGTTTGCTTTTAAGATGGTACGTTCTAATGTACACACATAACGTAGATACATACACACATAACTGGCGCGCTTACAGTCGATCGTAAAAGTAAACAAACTGTTTAATGTTACTTAAAAATGAAAGAAGCGCTTTTTTATGTGCAAACAAAGGGAGGAGGAAACGTAAAAATTAACGAATAAAGGGTCCTTAATTACTGTAGCACACTTTTATGGCCAGATGATATCAAATTATAGAAATTATTGTAGAAATTCCAGCTTACGACGTTATCATTTTAGCTGGTTATGTGGTTATATCGAGCCCTAACCGCCAAAATGAAGTAAGTCACATTTTTTTTTATTTTTTTTTTTTTATTATTATATTTTGTTTATGCAGAAATGCATATAGATGCTCTAGGAATATTTCTGCATCACAAAGAAAATTTTGAAAAAAATATCGCTTACATTATTTTGGCGGTTAGGACTCTATATCTTTACTTAGTTTACAACAATAAATTATATTGTTGTTATTATTATTAACCAGTTATCCCTAGGGAGCGTAGTTAGCTTCTTGAGAGACTGGGAATTTCCTAAAGGGGGAAGAATGATAACACAAATATCGAGCATGTAATAAACGGAAGATTTAAAATCGTGCCCATCCTTGCGACAAACTGTGGATCTGTAATGGTTTTTCGGCTGTATGCAGGTGGCATTGGAAATTTATGCTTTACAGCTTAAACTTCTAAAATTTGATTACAAACCGCAATGAAGAGAGAGTGAAACAAAATACTACTTGCGATGTACTGAAAACTAGTCTTTAAAGAGCATGCACTTACTAAGCTTTCTTTTGTCTTATTCGCAGCATTTTTTACTCGTCTAGGTGCCTCACATTTACCTACCAAACATGCATAGCTCCTTCAGTTTTAATTTAGTGCGAATTTTATTTGCAGATCAAATATTTTTTATTTCAAAGTGTTTATTTACATACTTTATTGACCGACTGTTTGCGTGTCTATACTATAAAATCATCGATATCGCGCCACAAACGTTAAACTAATAACGACAATAACAAATACAAATAAAAAAATTTGAACATTGAGCTCCACCGCAACCCAGTGAGAAAAATCTAGCTTTAGCGCAATTAGAAAAAATTCAGGAACTAATAAAAAATACACCCTAAAAGAAATTGGTGCTTCATATAATTTAATTTGTACGCTTTGATGTTGTCGCACAAAGAGGAGCCTGTAGTTTTATGCCACCTACGAACGACAGATAGTTTGGATGCATTCCAAAACGTCAAAATACAAAGCATCAGTCTCATTTATTTTTAAATCGCTCTAGAAGAAAAAGTCGAACTTGCACAACCAAGTTGCAAACGAGCGTCCAACCGTGGTTGCGCACATTTGGCATTGCAAGCTGTTGAGGTTTAGAAATAAAAGCGACTGATGCTTTGTATTTTGACATTTTGGAATGCCCCCTTTTTTACGAAAACATTTTTTAAGGCAGAAATACACTCAGCGTTTTACCATTGCCTGTCGAGCGGCGACTTTTATTAGAAAAAGCTCCCACTTGGGACCAAACCTATCGTTCAAAAACGATATCAGGTGACAACAATAGGCATCGATAACGTTTTGGAGCACGATGAGAAATACAGATTTACATACATACATACAAACATATGTATATATGTTTTAAAAATTCCAATTCGTATTAATTACCAATCCATTCTAACTCAAATTCCCGCTGGCATCGCATAAAAACAACACCAACAACACACACACAAAGTCTCGGCAAATACCCACTTTGGCGACGATGACGACGTTGACGTCGACGCCAGCATGACAACACCACATGCTGGCGCACATGGCTTTAAAGGCAAATAAAAGCAAAACATTATACGATTTTCCCATTCATGCCGAGTAGAAAAAAGAACAATAAAAACGATATTGGTGTGAGAGAGGGAGCGTACGGGTGACCTGTGCCGATGAGTATGTGAGCAAACGAGTCAGCGAACGAACGAGTTCCAATGTGAATAGCCGAAATGACAACAACTACTACAACAAGAAAGCCGGCGACGTCACTGAAGCAATAACAACAGCAGCAGCAGCAGCTGAGTACTCGCGTCTGCAGTGTATACATACATACATATATCAAAATAACAAAACGAAGAAGAAGAATAGCAGCAGGCAGTAGACATTTTGTTGAGTGTAGAGTGCGCGCGTACATATAGAAAAGGAAAAAATAGCAGCTTGCTGTGATGGAGCCTCTGGCACGAGACTATTTGAAACGGCAATACTCGAAGCGACAGACAGCAGTTGTTGGTTGAATCGTAGCTGTAGCGACACACAAACACACCGCTATACGAATTCACATACCCAACTATGGGCCACAATGTGGAGCCAACGCCAGCAAAACGGCAACACTTTGCTGGGTAAAATTGTGTGCATTATTGTTGTTGCTGTTTTTGTTGTAGCTTTTGTTGGCTGGTATTGGCACATCAGCCTTTTGCGAAAACTCACCAAAAGCAGGCACACGAGCAGGCGTGTATACAGGCGGGCGAGTGGGCCGCTAGCACATGGAGCTCCAAAAACGGAAAGCAAAAAAAAAACACAACAGAAGCAGCAAAGGTAACTGTGAGTGAATGCTGATGAGTGTACATACATACTTATGAGCGACTGGAGAGCGACAGCGTTTGCACAATGCATTGCATTATTAGAATGCCTTGGTACGGAGGTATGTACATATGTACTTACATAGTATATTGTACATATGTACATACATACGTATACTATTGGAGCAGCAAGTGAGAGCGCACATGAAAGCAAATGGTGTGGATTTTTGGAGCCTGGAAATGCTAGGTTGGCGCGCTGGTCGGCGGGTTTTGCGTCGTATTTTGGAGTACAAACAACAGACAGCGTCTGGCTGTAAAATGAGAGAATGAGCAAATTTGAAGGTACAAACATTTGTAGGTTTGTTTATACGCGTTTGTGTAGGTATTTGCATGCTCACAGTCATAATCTTTATTTACTAAAATATTTTCTAATCAAATTTGGTATAAACCGGCTGCAACGGTGTGTATATATATATATATGTATATTTGTTTGTACGATACGCTTATCCTCACCCTCCAGCCATTTGTAGGGATTTTGGACATACATTGAGGTGTTTTTAAAGTATAATTTTTTCGTCTGGCCCGTCGTGTTTTTCAATAGTATAATATTATATTATAATTGGGATTTTACCGAAAAAACTAATAATACATACATACATATGTAACTAGAGTAGCAGATAACATCAACATCCCCATCATGCCCCCAGTTATTCGGCAGGTCAGTCATTATTGTGTATTTTTCTGTATCTGCCATTATCGTATTGTTAGAAGTAGGTATAAACAAATTCAACTAAAATCGTTGATGAATATCGGGTGACAACTTTTGCGGCACCATTTTGTGAAAAAAATATGAGAATGGCACCTAAATGAAATTTCTGACCTTTAATGAGAAGTAAATTGAAGCTTGAGGGCCTCGCCTAGGTTATCCTAGCCTCATTTACATCCCGAATGCAGAAATCTAAGACAAAGTTAGTGTGCTTGTTCACGCTTGCCTGGTTATCAGGTTATCTGGTTATGTGATTATAGTTTTATTCAGTTCACAGCAATAAAATACACTACAGAATAATAATTTTTAATCAGATAACCTGGTAACCGGGATAATCAGATAACTTGATAACCTAGGATTTCCAATTGTCACAGAGGGGCATGGAAGAGAAGCGACTGGCTTCATGGGCATACGCAGAGCAGAATTTAGGGGGGCCTGAGATTTTTTTAATGTTAATTTTATTAGAAATGTTAAAATATAGCTATTAAAAATTTATAATAATTTACCTCATTAATTTTTCTCTTTTTAACCGACTTCAAAAAAAGAAGGAGTTTATCAATTCATCGGATTTTGTTACCGCATAACTTTGGACCACATTAACCGATTTCGATAACTCTTATTCTAATGCTTCAGGGGAGGTCCCATGCTAATTTGATTTAGATCCGATCATTGGATCAAGAAGAATTTTTATATGAAAATTTAAGTCGGTTGTGTTTTTTGCTTAAAAATTATTTGTTGTTTTAACAATTGAGTTGTACCGAGCCCAACAAAGGAATTTATATTGCATAAAGTTTATTATGAACTTATTGAAGATTTAAATACAAATTTGTTAGTTACCTTAATTGCATGCAAATTTTATATTGCGACTTCATCTTTACACCAAAATCGTAATTTTGTTCAAAAAAGGAGGAAGTTATCTATTCATCGGAATATGTTTTTTTTTTATGTGCTTATGTATGTATGTTACCGCATAACCGATTTCGATAATTCTTTTTTTAAAGGAAAGGTGGTACCTTAGAAGTGGTCTCATCCTAGTTTGGTTTAGATCCGATTATTGGATCATGAAGAAATGAACGGTAATCTTAAAGTTTTACATTACAATTGAAGTCGGTTTTGTTTTTTGTTAAAAAATTACTTGTTTATTTAAACAATAGTCTTCGAGTGTCTTCTGCAAATCGATTAATTGTTGTAGTGATGATTTCATTTTTGTTTTTTCTACAAAACCTCTGTGAATATTAAAAGACAATAATTATTTTACCTTTTTTTTAATTAAATGACTGTTTATCAGACTAACAAAAGTACACCGTTATATCTATTTTTTGTATCAATCTTCAACTCTGTAGCACTTGAAAAGCAACATTTTTTCAAGAAAATCCTTTCGAAAATGCAAATAGATTTTTATACTAATTTTATAGGCACGCAACCATGCATGCACTTATATGTGCTTATACATATACATTATACATGTATGAAATTGTGTACCGCCATTGTTTTTTTATAATAGTGCATATGCGAAAATTACTTTTGTTGTATGTATATACATATGTATGTATGTATGTATTTAAATATGGCGCATAGCAGGAACTCTGTGCGCAAACTATCCTAATGCCACCATTTCACGCATATATTCAAATATATGTTTGTACGGATGTATATTAGGGTGGTCCAAAAATACGCAGGAAAATCTACTTTTTGGAATGTATATGCCGCCACCCCCAGAATTATAAAAAATATAAAATAAGGAGACCCATATTTTTTATTTTGCCGCCGGGGATTTGAAGTTTTCTATATATTTTATATGGCTCTCCCTAATGTATAAGAATGTACTATGTAGTTTGAATACATCACATGCATCTCTGTACCACATACTTATGTATGTATGCACCATATAGATCCTTATATATCTTTTAGATATCTATCCCGGTGCGAACATAGCCAATAATTGCTTTGAATGCCACCGCAAACATATTTATGTCCCTTATTTGTATATATTTTGATATTCAACACACGAGAATTGCATCTATGCATGTATGTATAGTACATACATATGTACATATATACTATGTACTATACATAGAACCTAACTCGAGTGTAGAGCACCTAACAAGCAGCTTCCATTCGCACTCACTCACACGGGATGCGGTTAGCGCCAATAGCCCAAACATCTGCCCAACGCCACGAGCCCCTCATCGTGATGATCCATATTTTTGGACGAGTCATATAATCACAATACAGTCGAAACTCGATTATTAGTTCCGATTGCAGCACGTTCTACCTAATATGAATCGGTTGGCCATGTGCAAGGTATGGGTAAGGGAGTTGAGTGAAAGAAGGTAGCTGATGTAACTATTAGATTCGAATTCCATCCACCTCCCAACATCTCCCAAAGTAGAAATTTATAATTGTCACAGATAATTTTATAGTAGATTCCGTTCGAGTAAGATCGGCGAGTCAATCGCACCCTGTATAATATTGAAAAGGAGTGTAAGAAAGAGTAATCCTCCTATTGTGCAGTGATTTAAGGTTCATGAGCATGCATCTAGCAGTGTAAGATGGAAATGGGCCAACAAAATGTAGAGAGCGTAGAGCATACCGAATGAAAGATTTTTGGATTCGTTCAATCCCTTTTAATATGACATAGAACGAACAAGGGAAGCGTATAGTAATATTACGGTATACGGATCGGTGAAATCAGAGCTGAATATTCGGATAAATGCGAGCATTGAATATGACTTTGCTATGGTATAACTTAAGTGGCTGTGAAAAACAAATATGGCTGCAAAAACTACTCCTAAGTTAGAGACTTCACCAATGGTGGTAAGCTGCGAGTCACCAATGAGATAAGAAGTCGGGGGTAATGGAACGGTTTTTAAAGGCAGTTATTCAGAATTCGGAAAAAACAGCAATGTTAGTAACAGTGAACCTTCCAGGCATAAAACCATGCTGATTAACAGAGATTAAGGGACTAATTGCAAAAAATACTTTTTGTTTGACAATAAACTCAAATAATTTGGATATCGTTGATAATTCACATATTGACCCATAGTTGCTTATATCGTTTTTATTGCCACTTTTGAATACGGTGGTGAGTGGTGAAGAGCGGTCTTCTAAGCATCTATAAACTTACCCTGTTCAAGAGATTTATTGAAAATCAAAAAAAAGTGGATAGGCAAAAGCAGAACAATTCTTCAACAGGAACGACGATACCACATCAACATTGATATGTCGGATACCATCCTCAACATCATCAATTGATATTGCGAGCGAACCGAAATTTTGATTGGAGAATGCGCACTCTGAGGATAACGGCCACATGCATCCAAATCTAACTCAAATTTAGAACGCAAGAAACCCGCGAAACGATTGGCAGCTTCAGAGGGAGCAGAAGCTTGCATTTTATCTTCAAAAACATCACAGGGAATGCTGGTACTTGGACTGGACATATGTACCTCCAAAAAGCCTTTGGATTCGATTTTATATCCGACTCAAATTTAAGAACATAATTCCGCTTAAGAGACTTACTCAACGACTTAAACTCTCTAGAGTATCGCAAGTATTTATCCTTGTGAGATAAAGCATTTGAAAGTTTGAATTTATTAAAAAAACTTGTTTTTGAAATTCTTAAATTTCTTAAGTTCTTTGGTATACCAGGGAAGCCTATAGCTTTTTTTTTTATCTAATACTGGATTATTTCCACACAGATTAAATTCATTTCTTGCTTCAAAGTATCGAAACAATCCGAAACACCGACAACCGTAAATAACGAATCCCAGTCTACAGATGAAACCGCATCATTTACATTATCAAAGTTGCATTTTCTATAGCAGAAGCTAGTAGGTTTACTAACCGGTAAAACAGATCTAAACTCATACAACTCTAAATGAAGAATAATCGAAACATGATGTTGACCGGGAGTCGATAAAGGGTCGAGGCATTCAGTAAGTGTGAAATTAATATCGTTACTAATAAAGATAAGGTCTAAGATTCTAGATAGATTATTTGAAAAACTGTTAATTTATAATAGATTAAAAGCGCAAACAGTCAACGACGTAGATGCTAAAGCAAGAATATTATCCACTTGCGCTTTGTATAAAGATTCAGCACTTAGACGGAGGAACATAAGAAGCGCATACGAAAAGTTTAGACAAGCCATTGATAGAAACATAGAGCTGATCCAGCAGGGCATGCTCATTGATCAGTGGGACAAGCAAGGATCGATAATTTCGTCTAACTGCAATGAGTACTCCACCTCCTCTAGAGAGTTGACGCAGCGCACTCCCAAAATCAAATATCAATTCGAGTTGCTTTCGATATCAAATGCCGCGATTCGGGGCCAGGTTAGCTTGCCGTAATTTCCACCGCACGAGAGCTTTGAAAGCAACGAAAGTACTGATACAACGGAGCCTGTATGGCACCAGTATTTCTGAGGTAAATCCAAGGACATACATATGTATATATGGGTACACGCAGAGCTCCTAAGAAGATGGAATAACGGTCAGGTTGCAGGAGAGATTTATATCTCCCCCTCCTGGAGCCTCTGAAACCGTCTGCTTAACCTTGAGGAGAGGGTCAAAGA